ATAATCAGCCAATTTTATTTATGTACCGTAGGCATTCAATAAAAGGTAAATAAATTATTTACTATCTAGCTAATTGAAATATTGCATACCTCAATGCAAATGATTTTTCTGCCATGGCCATATTTTTAATACAAAACTATTTAATGCAAAAGAACATAACAAAGAAAAACAATTTACACAGTAAGTTACCAAAAACAGTTAGTTATATATTTTGAATATATATTGCATGCGCTTTTATACATATATCTTTTTTTTATATATATTTTCTCATTTAACAATAATAAGGATAACAAATCAATGCATTTAAATTTTGTTCAAAAATAGCATTAATTTATTTTCGAAATAGTAAACTAAACTATAGATGTTCTATTAACAAATTGAGTAAAATAGTTGGAATAAAATATATAATATTGATACTATCATTATTATTATTATTATTATTATTATTATTATTATTATTATTATTATTATTATTATTATTATTATTATTATTATTATATTATATTATATTATATATTAAGTATGTACTGTATTTTTATAATTACCATTTAATAGTTATAATAAATATTTTAATGTAAAATCATGATTTTCAATATTTTATTAAAAAATATATATCTGCATGAAGATATAGACAAATCTTCAATATTAAATGACTCGATATAATTGATATTAAGTATAAACAAATTATAAGAAAAAATAACTGTTAATGTAAACTTCTTTATTTATTAAGACTTTGCGAATTGTTACTATTCATTAAACTTAATATGGTAATTTTTGGGACCAATTTTTAGGATAGTATGAATAAATATATAATTATTTATAGGCAATGGAACAAATCAGAGTTATCATAAATCTACCTGGCGATCCCCAGAAGAATAAGATTCCATTAACTACAGAGCGGCCCTTCTCAAATGGCTATTGTCTTTACTCCTACAACATTGCATATGCACTACATGTTGTTATTCATACATTTGAAGTTTGCATGTATGCTTGTTTTTGTAAATATTTTACTTATGCTCCACTATTGGAGAGGAAAATCAGAGCCGTCAGTCTGTGCTTGTACAGAAAAGGGTCACGTTCGACTTGTGGTAAGTATATCAAGCCTTCAATTTACGCGTCTCGTTGTGTATTCAATAATAATTTTGGACAAATGAAAATCTTTTAAAATCATTGTAAAATAAGAATTTCGTTTATTTCCGTTCCCCCTACTTATATTATATAGTAATTTCAATATGATTGATTTTTTTCAAATGGAAAGGAAGAATTATGTTATCTTTAAATGTTTGGTAAAGCAAAAATCTTAATCAGTTTTTAAATTAATATTTGCTTATTACGTAGTATAGCAAAAGCCTTGATGAATTTTATTAAATACAGTGTGATAGTAGTATTTTTTTTCAATAAACTTTAATTATGTATTTAAGAATTGAGAGCTACAAATATATTTTTCATTGGCGCAGTAATTAAATTTTATATACATAAAGCAAATATTTTTTTTATTATAAAATGATTTCTAAGAACATTACTAAATATATATATATATATGTGTGTGTGTGTGTGTGTGTGTGTGTGCGCGCGCGCGCGCGTGTGTGTGTACGGTTTCACTTACATATAATTTAATTGTTTAAGTGTATATATGTATTTATTTTTAAAAGGTTCAACATATAAAATCCAAACTTGCTGAAATTGTAAAACATTAACAAACAATAATAAACGTATATTATTTCTCGTGTATATATATATATATATATATTAATTATATTACATATGCATAGTAATTACAATGTGTTTTTAAATAATCGATGATCGTAAGAAGCAATTTTCATTTAGTAAAACTGTGATTTTTAATAGGGAGAAAACCGGGAAAATAATAGTCTCATAAGAGATATGAATTGCAATTGGCAAAGTGATGCAGTTAAGCTGCCGAGAGTTGCATTGAACGGTAACTCAGTCGTCGATGACGAGGACGACGGGGACCGCAACTCCAGCAGTGAGACACACTCGGACTCGGCGAGTATGCCATATCAGTACCTCATCGAGAGGGACATCGAGAGGGAAAAGAAGAATTCGCGAATCGCAGAAGCATTGTCTAAGAAAGGAAACTCTAATACATCTGCAGATGCCCAGGGGAGCGGTACGTGCCAGGATCACGAAGTCTTTGAGACATTTCAACCCTCACATTTCGTAGAGCAAAATATGACGAATCCTCAATCACCTGCCGGTGCTTTCGGTCAGTCCATCCAAACGTTCATGGATGAAAACGAGAGTACTGAACTGGAAGTGTTGAACAGGATGGTGGACGATGAAGACGAAGACGAGGATATCATACCCGAAGCGTTGGTGAATAGTTCGTTTTTCAATGGTGGTTTCGGAACGATAGATAATAAACTTCCATCGACGAACCATTTCGAGGGTTTGCTTATGGATGATATAGAACCGAATGATGAAAAACTTATTCATGAAGGACGTTTCATAAAAATGACGACGTCAAGCTCATCCAGTCGGTCTCTTCCTATTAATGGATCATGTATTATTAATGATTCATTGAAACTTCCAAAAGTAATATCTAATGAGATTATTACTAAAGATCAAATGCCTCCAGCTTTATTGAAAGTCCTTAATAAGTCTTCGTTAGAATTTTTTAAAAGTGAACCTAGTGTATGTAATAAGACTGAAATTTTCTCTCCATATAATAATAAAAAACATATTGAAACTTTAAAAAATGAGAAGAAAACTAATATTGTAAATAATTCTAAATGTAATATTAAAAATAATATAAACCTTCCAGAAGAGAATATTCGAGTAACTCGGTCAAATCTCAAAGTACTTCATAATTGTAATACTTCATCATATGTATCTAATAATAACCCATCAAGTCACATAAATTATATGGCTGCAGGAACTCAAATGTCATTAAAGAAAAGCCCTGATCAGCAATTAAATTTGACTCCTATAAATGAAGATTATGAGATTCGATATAAAAATATGCGTGATAATAGTGTATCAAAAAATGTCAGTTCTTTTGGTATTGATGGAACGCTGAATAAAAGAGTAAAAATTAATTCCCGAAAACTAATAAATGATTTAACATACGGAATTAAAATAGTTGTTGAACGATTGGACTTATCAAGAATTCCTAGATAATAGATTACGTCTTCGCAACAGTTTTTAAATAAACCAAGTTGTACTTATTTATTATAAAGTATTTAATAACTTTATATTTAGAATAAATAATAATTATAAGTATTTAATGTGTGAAGTTTTTAGATCTTCCGATATTAATATATTTTATAAATAAGTTGTAAAAAAAATGTAAATAATCTATATGTAATATATTCATACATTTACATATATATGCATATATGTATGTATGTATGTATGTATGAACGTGTGCATATAAGCCCATAGATTTTATTAGTTTATGATATTCATTTACGATTAAATATATGAGGTTCAATAAAAATTTTTTTATTATTAGAAATTAGAAATCTGTAGTTCATATCTTAATATTTTTTATTGCATTTCAATCAGTAACTTTAATGACAAATAATTAAATTAATAAGTGTATAATATATAATAAAATAAGATAAATGATATTGTTGACTTGTTGAAATTGCTTTTAACATTAATAACTATGAATAAAGAATATACAAAAATTAAAAATTAACTTTTTAATTAATTTTTAATAAAAAAATTATTCATACTTATAATATTTATTTTTAATATATGATATTTTATTCCTCCTTGTTAATTTCATTTAATTCATAATATATTTTCATTTTAATTTTAAATTTTCTTTATACTTTTTTTGTAAGGCTTTCAAAATTTTAAATAAGCATTTTTTAATTATGAAATATTTCAGTATCCGTTTATTCCTGACTAACTCAAATTTTTGATCTCATTTATTGAAATATCAAACACAGTATTATGTTTATAAAAACAAAAATTATTTACTAATTTCAATCGAATTTTATGATGTAGATTACTTCTTATTCTATCACATGAATAATAAAAGATTGAAAATGATAAAAAATTTGTTAAATTTATTTTTGTGATTATAACTTTAATATGAAAATATTTCGAGTTTTTTAACTAAAAATATTAAACTACAATTTGCTTGATAAACAATATTACTAACAACAAGATTTAACAAAGAAAGTAATATACATTAATCATTATTTTTATATGCACGAACATAATGCCAAAATAAATATTTATATAAATTATATTTACTTTCTTTATAATATTAATTTAATCTAATTTACTTATGTACAAAGTATAATCATTGCCACATGCGTAGAGAAATTAAAATTTATCAATAATTTATGCTTAGTGATATATATGATATTGAAATTTTTATTAATTTATAAAAGAATTAATTCACTGTTTAACATTTGTAAAGTATATTTAGAGTAGTTTCAAGATTTATAGTTGCGAATTTGATTATATCGTTTATTTAATATGCGCTTTATCGATAATATTTATGACATATATTCTATTGACTATGTTAATGTAATGTTATATTTATATTAGTAATTTGAAAGATTTATAATGTAAATATTTTACACAATATTGTATTACTTATGCAAGTATCGTATACTAAAAGAGTTTAAAGGCAAATTGACGATTTATTCTGTTATTAGAATATTTTTATGTAAAATAAAGCAATTTAGGAAGACTGAAAATAATTATTGTATTAAAAAAAGTGATATTTACTGTGAATTCGATTTATAATTATAATTAAATAAGAATTTATTCTTTAAATTATTGATAAAAAAGAAAAAATTCTAAACCAATATAATTTAAAATGGTAATAATGTAAGATCTTGAAAGGTAAAAAAAAAACAATCGTTAGGTAAATTCAGTAATGAGAATTACGTAATAATGTAATCAAACTACTTAGTTATAATAATTATTATCAGAATGTTTTTTATAAGTTAATAATTTTTTTATTTTAGTTGAATAAAAAATATGTTTCTTGTAATCTACAAACCGCTATTTATAATACAAAATTTCATTTTTTCAATAATTGTACCCGATTATCCATAAATTTCTTTTGTTCTTTAGTCATTTCTGCAGTATTTAAAACGATAGTTTTTACATTTTTTTTTAATTCTATTTCCATAAATACGTCCATAACTTTTAAAGTTTGTTGAGCTTTTTTTAAATCCTGTAGAATGAAAAAAAAATTTGATTTATAATACTTTTTAGTTTAATAAATGGCTATTGAATATATTTTAATACCTCTCTCAACTGATCCTTAATAGTAGAATCCGTTTTACTCTGTTTTCTTTTTTGACTAAACTCATTAGTTGTATATCCAATAATATTCTCTAATACCTATCCAAAATCGCATTCCATTAAAATAAAATTTTTTTTAAACTATAATTTATATCAATATTTTAAATTATATACCTTAGACGAAAAAATAACATCTATACTTGCAGTATAATCTGTAATAGTACCTTCTAAATAAAAATAAGATCCATTGTCTCCTTTTAATAAGTTTAATTTAACAATATTAATAACTTTCCCTCTTACTACTGTTTGTATGGATTCATCCATTAATGGTTGTTTTAGTATCTCACACATAAATTCACAAATTTTTGGAATGCCCTCATTTAATAACGTTGGTTTAGTTAAATAGTCAGTGATTTTTGGTGAATTTTTTAGGCAGCGTATCTTTTGTGGTACATGTGTATCAGGTGATAGACTCTATTAAATACATTAGGAGATCACAATTACAAAGTACTACGTTAAAAGAAATTTTATGAATACTTATAAACGTACTGCTAATCTTTTAATACTCGTTGAATCTACTGTTGATTTATAGGTAATTTGATCCAGAGATGTAGCCGTTGAAGATTCGATTTTTTCAATTTCAGACTTTTTATAATTATATAATTTTTGTTGATTAGTAGATAACTTATTATCTACATCCATTTCCTTTTCAAATTCATTACCAAAATCACTTACAAAATCATTTTCCATCAATTGTAATGAATTATATTCTTCACATTTATTTTCACTAGATTGATCATTTGAATTTTCTCTAGTACAATATAAAATACGTGAATTTTCCATAATTGCATTCGTATTTAATTTTGATAAACTGCTTAATGATGCTTGACTAGATTTATGACTATTGGTTTCAAGTTTATCATTTTTATTTAAAAAATTATCTTTGTCATTATTCCCATCGAAATCATCCATTTCAAAGTCATTATCTTGAAAATCAGATAGATTGCTTATGGATGGTGTTAAAATATTTTTAGATTGCAGTGATAATCCTAACTTCCAAGATAAATTTGCTTTATTTACATCATTGTTGGAATTCTCATTGAATGTACTTTTTGATGAAGTATCTTTTTGTTCCAACTTGCTACTTTTACAAGTCAAAATTTTATTATTTCCTATATGTTGACTATTTGAGCTTTTTCTAAATAAAGTTCCGCTTATACTCGGAAATTCATTTTCTGATTTAGACATTTTAAAAAATGAACTACTTTCTTCATTTACATCATATATTTCATTATCCATTGGAAAGTCATCTTCATTTTGATTTGGAGTCAATTGCAACGAAGATGATAGCTTTTTAGATGAGCTTGACGCTACAGAAATACGATTTGATGCAGAAAAATGTTCAAATATTTGATCATCATCCGTTTCTAACAATGAATTATTATCTTCAATATTTATTATTTTATTTTGAAAATCGAATTTATCACTTTGCATTTCTAATTTATTTGAATGGAGATTTAAATTACTATTGGAATTATATCGTTGATTTTTTGACACAGATGTTAATTTGTGAGTTTTAATAGTATTATCAACAGTTTGTCCTTGAAAATTATTTATATTATTAGGAAATGTAGATATTGACTTCTGTTCATTTTTTTTAATAGAAGTATTTAAAATATTTTTAATACTGGAATCCTGTTGTTGAATTTGTTTTTCTATTTGATCTAATACTTCCAAATCCAAATCAAAATCATCTTCTAACTCAATTGTTTTATGAATATTGTAATTATCTTTAGTTTCTTTGTTATAAAGATTTTTGTTATCATTATATGGATCTGAATTTTCTGCCATATTTCTATAAATACAAAGAATTTATCATAATTTATCATTATAATTAAAATATATAGAAATAAGAAAATAATCTGAAATCAATATTACACTTATTAGTGTTTTATTTTAATAAATAGCATCAATGTAATTTTATACATAAAAAAAATCTTCAATTAAAATTATTTCTCACTTTATTCAAAAAGACTAATAATAGTTTATAAAATAACTTACAAAGCTCTAGCGAAGACATTTTCTACAGCATTACTAATTAATAGGCTATCAACTTCTCCACCTACTTCCGATATATTAGCTTCTTCTAATAATATTACTCCTCTTCTACAAGTAACAGGTCCTTTAATCATCAACTTGAATCCAGGATACAAGTTATCCTATAAGAAATATTTTTAAAAAATCAAACAAATTTTATAAATAATCTGTAATTTAAATATTTTATTACTTTTAAAGATTTTATAGATTTGTATTCAATAGCTAAAATATCCTGAACACCATCGGTTAAAAATAATTGCAACATTCTTTTACTTTTTGGTTCCCAGTTCTGAAATTTATCCTCTTGCAATCCATTTTCTTTTTCAGTAGTTTCAATATTATCAGATGATATATTTTTTATTTTTTCAAGTTGTTTATACTTAGATGTTGATATATCGTACATTTTTTCCATCTTAAAAATATAATTGAATCCAATTAGTCGTATGAAATATCATTATAAATAAACATTTTCACTAATGATACCTGTAGAATATATCTGCCAGGTAGTGTGATACATTTTTGTTTTGTAAGATTTTTTGGTAAACATCCATTTTCATTATTTACTTCTCTTAAATCGCAAAGCACCCACTGATTCATAACAAATGCTATAATTTCATCTTGTGTCGGCTGTAAAACAATGCAAATGTAACTTTCAAAAAGTTTTCTAAATATTAATAATTGTATTCTGAAAATTGACTTTTTATAAATATGAAATCTGAACTTACATTTTCGTGATCATTTAAATAATACTCGATACAATCGGCTAGCCAAGAATTATTCATAATATAATATTGCTTATTTAACGAGTTTTTCACTCGCCCGAACAGATATTCATTCATACTGTTACTCATTTTACAATATTGCAATTTATTATTAAATAATTATATATTTGGAAGATTCATTATATTTAAAAGACTCAAGTAAAGTTTTTTGATTACATGATGTTTTGATCTTACGATTCAATGTGCATTTAATATATTCAATTGAGATTAGTCTCAGATTGATAGACAGTGCTCTCTGGTGACGAATATTGGCAACAAAACAACTACTAAATGTATTGTAAGAATTATTTTCGAACAAAAAAAAATTGGATAAATAGTTATTTGTGTAAAATACAAGCTTGTGAATATCAGTCGATAAAATATTATTAAATTAAAATTTTTTATTTATTTTTCAGTAGACTAGTTCCATAATTAACATATCGAGAAAGCAATTTATTTGGCGCTAAAATTTAAATGTATCATATACATTTATTAGTATTCAATTTTATTAGAGTTAACTTAATTACAATTTGAGTGAATAAATTTGCTTTATCATGTTGACATTTTTAGTTGTAACGTCAATGATAAAATCGTCATTTTATTTCATCAGCTAAACTATAAAGTGATGCGTAGTTGATTAACAATAACAACATAACACTTATTTATTTAAAAAATAATTGTTATTATTTTATTGGATTTTTATTAAAAGACAAAAAGATTGTTTTCTTGATTCGTAAATTACCATTATTGTAAATTTTATAAATAATTTAACAATATGAAATAATAAGTCCAAAATAGTAGACCATTAATATACTAATATCATACAATATAATAGACAGTTGTGAATCAAAATAAAAAAATACTACTCTATGTTCTTAAATTTTCTGACATTATGATTATTTTTACATAATTTAATTTTTAATTTTGTGTAAAGATGAAATATGTATATGTATATATATTTATAATACTTATAGTATAATAGAATATATCATCTTTTACAATTTTCGGCTCTTTTTCTCCCGAAATCTGCATTGAAAATTTCATTGCGCTTAATTGTATATACGGCATATGAGGTGAAACTAAAATATTTATATTATTCATTCCAAAAGTGTGGCATAAACAAGTAATAAATAACGAACTGGAGCTGAATTTTCAAATTAAATTTATACAATGGAGAATAATGCGTGCACGCGAGTAGAGAATTAGTACCATCCCAAGTTAAAAATCGAATGACCTTAATACCCTAGAAAATGAGGGTACGTAGGACAAGGTTTGGCAATTTCGCACGGAATGATTATACAGGCGTAATTTTGGCGGGTCGTATATTTCGTCCTTCAAAAAGCCTATGCAATTATGCAATATACATAGATATAAGAAGTGCGCGCGACCACTTCCGAATTTCGGGGCTTTAGGTAATGGCCACTGAATCGAGAGGGAACTCAGTTATTAGTGGTTTGTAGTTCACGCTCTCTTTGATCTGTGCCGACGCCAACGTCGTGGCTCACACCTGTCGATTTTCAGTCGTTTGGTCCTTTTTTCCCTCCCCCCTTCGATTCCCACTTTGGTGGCTATTGTTTAACTCGCCCGCGGATGTTTCCCGGACACCAGCCCTTAACGAAGTCATTCATAAACTAAGATGAGCACACACGCCTCCGAGCGCCAAATTAACCCCCTTCAATTCTTTTTTGCTTTGTTTTCTCTCTTGGACGAAACTTCTTATTTATAGGCTGCCTGCAATCAATAATTATTAGACTAGCATTTTGCCAGTTTTAGCGAATTTCGTTTCCCCTTATTTGTTGGAATTTATTTGCAAAATCACTTTTTAAATTTTTCATCTATAAAGCATGATAAACGTTCTAGTTGAATAACCTATTGCCTCAAATAAATACGTAGATGCATTATTTAAATGAAAGCAAGATTTTTTTTGCAAGTCGTACTTTATTTAAGTATAAATTGTGCCGGACTGAATATTTGAGTTGGTTAATGTTCATCTTTCGAATGCTTTTATTGCACTTTATAAGTTACTATATTTTTTCAGCGTTTAGGGATAAAACGAAAAAAATTACGAGTAGCCATCTTACGGCTATTCGAAGTTAAATACTCTGCGAGTTGAAAAACTTGCTCCATTACGAGTAATAAAAGAAGAATGTACGCGTACTTCTTAATAATTGAGCAATATCGATAAAAATGGAAAATTGTTTGGGAATCGTACGATTTAGAGTGCGTACGTAAAGTCACGATAAATCCGTTCGAAAATCACACTTACAAATTTTATTGATGGAAAATAAAAATTTAAAAGTGAGAATTTCAATTTGAATCTATTACTCACTCTCTCTCTCTCTCTCTCTCTCTCTCTCTCTCTCTCTCTCTCTCTCTCTCTCTCTACAGTAGATTACTTAGTGTTAATTACCAAAATATATGAAGTACTAAAAATTCTGTAAAATTCATTGCCATAGATAAAGCTTTAATGTGCTTTTATTCAATAATAAATAAATATTTCTTTTATTTTCCAATACATGAAAATTAAATACAAGAACCTTTTCACAGTACTTAGTTATGCATATGTGAACTTGTGTATTATATACTTTATTATTATTGTAATTTTTAAAAGGTAATTAACCCTTTTTTAATTACTTTCGTTCATGATTTAATTTACTAATTATTTATTTCATTGATAACTATAAAAATGAAAATGTTTATTTTCTTGCATTTTCAAAGCTCGTAAATTATATTTCTTAATCGTTTTCAGTACATTAAAAAAACAAATATTTTAGGCACGTCTAAATTGATGTATTTAGGATACTATCTCAAGAGGAATTTAAGCAATTTTGCTAAAATATGACCAAAATCATAATTTTTGAAAATAAAACAAGCGATTGACAAAAATATTGGTTTCTTTGCACTTTAAACGAATTTTCCTTATTCATATAACATCGTAAAAAATTTATTTAAAGAGTGATTTTGCGATATATTGCCTACATTATATTGCCTACGATTGCTGAATTTCAGCTGAGTGTAAACGCGAAAAACCTTAATGCATTTTTGTAACACCGATAAATTAGTCTTTCAAAAATTATACGTGTAATCGTAATTTCTTCGTGGTCTTTCTCTCTTTCTCTCTTTTCTCTCTTTCTCGTACTTCCTTTCTCTGTCATTTTTGATCTTCCACTTGGATTCTACCAACGTAGCAAAACAGTGCGACCGGAAAGATCGGCGTAGCACGATACATTTCATGAATGTTTAATTTTACGTTTGGGACTGTGGTACGGCACGTGGCTCTTTAATTTTCTTCTCGATGTACTTATTTCTGCTTAGTAAAAAAGTAGACCGGATACCCGTATCGGTGTATCTCTTGATAAATTGTGTGTGTATACATTTCCTATACGGGAATCACAAGTTTTCTGTTCTTTTTTCAATTTCTAAAGAATTATGTAAAAGAGGAATATGATTAAAGCCAATAAAATTTATTGCATATTCTATAAGTATTGTACATGCTACAATATTTTATTACTTAGATTGTGAAACATAATATTGATATAATTACATTTTAAATCAAGGTTCAATAGGGTAAGAAAACGACCATTAAAATATTTTACTGCAATTATGAAATAGCAAATAATGAAATTTTGACTATGTATTAAAATACAATTGTTGTTACGAATTAAATTTATTTCTAATAGACACATTTACAGCTATTACATTCATATTTTATTCAATATTTTATTTAATCATATCATACTTATTATATGGTACTTAAGTGATAAATATTTTTTTAAATTATTCAATAATATTAAATTTCATTAATTACCTTTATTAAATATCCATATTACTAGAATACATATAAGTTTGAATATAATATAGAAAATAAATATTAGAAGGTCATTAAGTACAAATACTATCTCATTCGTACATTCGCTTATTTATAAATTACTGGAAAAAGAATAAGCGAAAATGCAAAATTATATACGATGTTAGATAAAAAATTCATATACAAGGTTAAATGAAAATAACAACATATCAAATAAAAAATTAAAACAGAAGTTGCATTATATTTTTCGAGCATCAGACCAAAAGAAAACTATGAGTAAGGAATGTCTCTATTTATCCATTTATCCGAAATTTTAAAAACAGAGGCCATTTAAAATAATACGTATTATAATTAAACAATTTTTATCGATATTATTAATATTATTTGAAGATGTTCCGGCAATATGAGCAGATAAATAAACCCTTTTTTTTCAGAATATAAATTTTATTTTTTTTAATTTGATATTAAATTTCTTTTTCCATTGTAAACTCATTTACCTAAATTAGTATGAGTAATTTAAAACTATTTTCAGCTTATTTTATGGATAAAAGTCATCGCTTTGCATTCTTAACGTGATAAAATTCCAAATGATCTGATTGGTAACATTATGTATAGAAATTTTTTGAAATACCATTAAATTGTGATTCAATGTAAAAGCTTAATAATTAAAAGGTAGATAGAAGAATAAGGTGAAAAGACAAAAAAGAAAGAGAATACATTATTCACGTAATGCAGTGTGAAACCGGAAAACCCTTTTAACAATAGTCCAGTTGACTCATATCTCGTACACGAGTTCTTTGTGCCTGATTTTTGCTAATTAGTTTCGCTTATTACGTCAATATGAGTAGTATATATAATTTATGCATAAAATATCCAAATAATCATTTAAAAACATTTTTCGTTTTTTGCTTTTCAAGTCTGTAATTACAGTAAAAACTGCACGCAAAATTACATAATGATCCAACATTGATTTTATTACTTTACGCAATATAATATTTATCACTTTAATAAAATTTTAATATAATATTTCTTTTAATGAAATCTGTTATCTTCTAAGGAAACGTAGAATTTTACTGCGTTTAATCGTTCCGTAAAGTGCAATTTACTCATCAATCAATATATATTAATATCTTCGATAATGCTGATAATTTTAACCGATCGATGCTTAAGCGTTGTTTGAGAAATTAATTGCGCAACTGCAAGATATTTACAGAAATCCTCATTAAAGTAATGTGATTTTATATTTATCCATAAATTAAGCAAGCCTTTAAGCAAGCAGCCATTTCATAATGCTGTCTACATATATTAGCGGACTAGTTGTAGTGAGAGTAAGAATGGGCTTGTATGGTCAATCATTGGACTATTAAGCATATTTCATT